GAGAGCCTTATAAATTTCTGCTGCAGTATAGCTCGTTGGAAAGGTAGTGCTGCTCTCGCCCCTTCTTTGGACAACACGATTCCACGCCGAAATTGTAAAAAGTACCTTGTTTAGTGTCGAGTAACGATTAAAAAGTAAATTGATGACATCAATCTGCTCAGTGGCCAGGAAGGCGAAGCAAGTATTTTTTCGTTCCTCAGCCGCAACTTGGCTGTTCATATCAGGTGCATTGTGAATGGAGCGCGGCCAGGTTTGCTGTGGCTGAGCAAGCCAAATGGGCCCGCGCCACCAAAGATTGCAATTCAAGAGCGTTTCTGGCTCCAGGCCACGAGTAGCCACATCNACCCGCGGCACCAAAGATTGCAATTCAAGAGCGTTTCTGGCTCCAGGCCACGAGTAGCCATATCTGCTGGATTGTCTGCTGATACCACGTGTTGCCATGATGGGCGAGGGATGGATTCGATAATTTCGGCAACTCTGTTGGCAACCTATGTTTTCCAGCGCCGTGGATGTGAAGATAGCCAGCCGAGTACAATCATCGAGTCTGTCCAAGCTATGCATTCAACATCGCCGAGCTCCATTGCGCCTTTGACAGCCTTGAAAAGTTTTGCAAGTAACAATGTGCCCGCCAGTTCTAATCTGGGAAGAGACATCTGCTTCAGTGGAGCAACCTTTGTTTTGGCAGTGAGCAGGAACACCTTGGCGCCCTCAGCTGTTGGAATGCGGCAGTATACTGCAGCTGCATAGGCCATCTGTGAAGCATCTGAGAAACCACAAAGCTGGAACTTATCTCTGGGGCTAGTGTGTACCCATCGCGGTATTCGGAGCGAGTTGAAGCAAGCATAGTTCTGCCGAAATGTCAGCCAGCTCTGCGATAACGCAACGGGAATATCTTCATCCCATTGAATATCGTGTAACCAGAGTTGCTGAAACATGGTTTTTAGTAATACTGTACACGGTGACAGAAAGCCAAGTGGGTCGTAGATTTTGGACGAATCCGATAGGATAACTCTTTTGGTGCAGGCATTGACGACTGGCGCGACTTTGAAGGTAAAAAAGTCCTTGAGTGGTTGCCAATGCAAGCCCAGAATCTTCAGACTGCTCTCGGTATCAATTTCAGCGATGTCCACAGCAGACGTTTGCATATCAACATTTTGAATTATGCTGAGATCATTTGAAACCCATTTTGAGAGCGGGAAACCCCTAATAGCAAGCGTCTTGGTGATGTCTGCTTTTAAGTTGATGGCTTCTTCTACGCTGTTTGCGCCTGCAATGAGATCGTCAACATAAAAGTTATTTTTGATCATAAAACCTGTTTGAGGCTCATCAGCATCTTTGCCCGTAGCGTAGAGGCAGCGTGTGGCAAGGAATGGCGCGGTAGCTGTTCCATAGGTGACAGTGCGGAGTCTATAGTGTGATATTGGTTGAGCAGCGCTAGTTCTCCACAGGATGCGTTGATAGTCCCTGTCGTCATGGTGAACAAGGACTTGTCGGTACATTTTAACAATGTCGCCACAAAGGCCGATACGATATCGTCTGAAGTTCAGCAATAACGATGTTAAATCACGCTGGATGGTAGGGCCCACTGCAAGTAAATCGTTCAGAGCTGCACCTGATGCTGATTTGGCGGATCCATTGAATACCACTCTGCATTTAGTTGATCTGCTATCAGGCTTTAAAACTGGATGGTGTGGTAGATAGAAAACCTTTTCACAGCTCTTGTTGACCTCTGAGGCTGGGAGTTTTTCCATATGTCCCAATGCAATGTATTCCTCCATGAAGGCCTTGTATTGATTGAAAAGAGATTCATCGCGTTCAAAGCGCCTTTCAAGACTTGCAAACTGCTTGCGAGCCGAAGTGTAAGAGTCACCTAGGCGCGGTGAATCATCTCGGAAAGGGAGTTTTACAATATACCGACCAGCATCATCGTAGCCATGCGTTTTTTGGAAATGATTTTCGCAAAACTGTTCTTCCGGAGTATAAA